CAGAAAGCCCCGGAAGAGGCAAACTTGCAGAGAAAGACGATAGGCCAATTCTGTTTTCCAGGATGGCCACAACATCCTCCATGCCTCACGCCTTTGTGACACGCGTCCCTGCCATTTCTCCAATCAAGAGGAATTCTCCTTTCCATAAATCTAGGCTGATCTTATTGACTTTTTAAAAAATGTTTTTATTCATCTCAGAGAGAGAGAGAGAGAGAGAGAGATAGAAACATTGATGAGAGAGAAACATCGACTGGCTGCCTCCTGCATGCTTCCCACTGGGGATCAAGCCTGCAACCTGGGCATGTTCCCTGACCGCGAATCGAACTGGTGACCTCTTGATGCATGGACTGACACTCAACCACTGAGCCACACCGGCAGGGCTGATCTTATTGACCTTTTTTGACCGACAGGATGTGATGGAAGTAACACCTTAGAATGGCCAATATCCTAGAAACCTTGTCTCTCAGAATGTTCCCTCTTGGGACGCTTTTCTTCACAACCACCTGCTATGCTCCGAGAGACACAAGCCACGTAGAAGGCCACGTCTTGATGCTTGAGTGGACAGCCACTGTTGAGCTCCAGCCAACAGGTAGTATCAACTGCCGGCCCTGTGAATGAGCCACCTTAGACTTCCAGCTCAGCGGAGCTTTCAAACAGACCCAGCGGCATCTGAAAGCGACTGCAGGGGAGACGCAAGCAGACACACGGGCACTGCCTAGTCAATCTACAGAACCATAAGAGATGATAACAAACTGTTCTTTGAAGCCACCGAGTTTGGATGCGGCTTGCTATGCAGTAACGGGTAACCAAAGCAGTGGATGGGCTCCGTTTTAGACACTGAGATGCCTGGAAGACAGCCAGGTGGACGTGTTCCAAAGCTCCTTGGATCACTTTCATGTCGTTGGTGTCTGGAGCACGAGGAGCGAGATCTAGGCTGTGCTTATGGTTTTGGGACCACAGAGCATGTTAACACAGCACACAGAACACAACTGAAGCCAGGAGGGTGGCTGAGAGAACCCGGAATGATTATATTTTGAAAAGAGCAGAATCCTCAGAAACAGCAGTGGTCAGGGATCGGGCAGAGGGAGATGAGGCAATGGAACAACCCAGAATGTCACTGCCGAAAAGCCAGGAAGAAAGTGCAGGTGAACACGGTGTCACAGAAGCTAAGGGGAAAGACCATGTCAAGGAGGAGGGAGAGATGAACTGCTAAACACCACGAAGATGGAAGGGCGCTCACTGACGCTCCCGACACAGCAGTGACCACTCTGGAAGGCGTCAGCTGTGTGAGTGGTGGAGTGCTGGGCGGTCAGGAGAGGGGCCAGGCTCTAACAGGGGTGCCTGGGAGCTGGAGACAGGAAAGTCCTCAACGTGCACACCCAGTTCAAGAAGAGGGGGTGGAGCTGGAGCAGGAGGGAGACTCAAGGATTTACTTATGTATTTTTTAAAGATGTTGAGTGGCCTCAGAATGGTCACATGTTGACTAGACGTGCAGGTGGGGTGGGGACACTCTGAGGACAGAGGCTGGGATCAAGAGTGGTCCTGGAAAGAGGAGTCGTGTGTATGGCGAGGAAGGAAGAGACACACGAAGGGCTGGAGATCTGTGTAAGAAAACTCCTCTGAAGCTTTGTCTCTTTTGTTGCTGTTGCGTAGCATGTGAGGTTGCCGGCTGAGAAAGCTGAGGACTGGGGGTCTGAGTACAGCAAAATGACCGCTGAGGAATGTGGAAGAACTGGCAAGGGAAGCAGAGGGGGCTGCAGGCCCTGGGCGGTGGGGAGCCGAGAGAGGGGCACAGGCTCAAAGAGGTTAAGTAACTTGCTCAGGGTTACAGGGGAAGGAAGTGAAGGAGCCACAGCGTGAACACAGGCCTGTGCGACTCTTCCCAGTACATTCGGCTCAAAGCGTTCCTCGGTCCAGGGGAGTCATTTCAGTTTCTGGAAGGAGACGGTGTTGGAGCCGAAACTCCGCTCTCCCCTCTGTATTCACAGTTCGAGTCCATCGGTTTTGCCCGAGACCCTGTGCTCGCTTCGACGTCTCATCTCTACAACTCGTAGCCCAAGAAATTCTCGGGAAGAATCGGTGAAGGACCAGGCATGTGTCAGAAGCGCTTCTCTCAAACGCTAAGCCCCCTTTAGACGCAACAGCTCCGTCTTCCCTTAGAGGCAGGCAGGGGGTTTGTGCACCCCGAGCACTAGGCCTGCTCCCGAGAATTTTATTTATGAGAATAAACCAGCGCTGCATAACAAGAGCACGGCATTTAGAAGCTGTAAAGTGACTCACTCATTACGCTCAGCACAGTCAAGCCTCCTGTGAGCTCTGTTCGGAAGGCTCAGGCTTTCTTAAGGGTGTGATCTCCTAGGATTTCTAGAGATGGTGTGGAAAGCTCAGACAGCGGAAGCACAGGTGATGGACGCTGAGGGTCCCTCATGGGGGCTAAACGAGGTGTTCTGGGGGGTCCCCTTCTTGCCAATGGAGCCCTCTCAGGCCCTCTGCACACAGGACCATAAATATTCAAGATACATACCAAGAACCTGTACTTGGAAAATGGGAGACAGGGATTCCTTTCAGTTTAGGGATTATTTGGGCTAGTCCAGAAATAATAGAGTGACTCTTATTTGGATGAGGTCAGAGCCCAGAGACAGAGCAATTCCCACAGGTGCCCTAGTGCGGACGGTGGGCTGGAGGGCCAGCTCTGCAGCGTCCCACCCGTCCTGGGGCAGCTGCTGTCTCTTCCTTACGTGGGAGGGAGGAGGAAGGTCCCTCACCTACGCGTGTGCACAGCTGCTCTGTGACGCGCATCGGCTGCACACGGGGCATTCGAGGCCGCGTGGGCACCTGCGGTCCTCTGAGAGAGGGGGCGCCAAGCAGTGTCTCTGAAACGGTGAAGCACAATCCTCTGCAAACTGTGAAATCATCTGAGTCAGTTTAGAGTAAAAATCCAGGAAGCATTTTACAAGGGAGAATATCGTACAGGGTGGGGCCAAAGTAGGCTTACAGTTGTTCGTATGGAAAATAATCCCATAACTAATAAATAATAATACAAGAATAAGCTCTGTTTCCTGTGCTCACCACTGTAAGCCTACTCTTGCCCCGCCCTGAGTTGTCTCGGGACGCACTCAGATGTGTATGTGATGCAACAAATACCTCACTGCAGTCGCGGGGAATGGTTTACGTCTACCAGCTCCACAGAGATCTCTGAGGCCACAGTTATATGAAGTTTCTCCAAACCCTAGACAGTCTTTCCCAGGTTGTCCTAAGCTTTTCTCGAAGACCTGAACTACCTTTGACCAAGGGAACAAAGTCCATAAGAGGAGAGGGTGGGATCTGAATACAGGCTGTGGGAGCTGGGGAGTGCTGATCCCAGCAGGCGCCCTGGGAAATTGCTGCTCCCAGCACCGAGGCTGGGGAGGCCCTGGATCCACAGCTGCCGCAGACTCATGCTTGACAAGTACTGTGAAGTTTTCAGTTTAATCATAATCCATAAATGGTCAGGGTTGTTTTTTTTAAAAAGGAAATATTTACAACAAACATTTTTCTCTTCAGTATAATGTCTTCAGTCGGCAAAAAAATTCCCTACATGGGTGGTTAATAAATGCTAAGAGACAGTCTGAATTTCCATCTATATAAACCAAAAATAAATACTCTTAATTTCTGTGTAGTTACTCGATCTGTTCACATGTGTATTATCACTGCCTAAAACAACACTTGTTTAAAGTAATTATATTTTATTTAACGGAAATTTCCTACCCACAGTTTCAATTAGGGAAGATCTTTTTGCTCCTCTTAAAGCAGCCACTGTTTTCAGATGCGGTGACATGTCCATCACCAGCTTTTGGGAACATGTAGAACTTAGTATCAAAAAGCCCCATATAGGAGCGGGGACAGGGTATTTATTATTACTGTGCAAATCTTATAAATTCCTCAGCCCCTCCCCGCAAGACAGAAGCATCACGAAGTATTATTGTTAAAATAAAACAGAAGATGGGAAAGCAAAAAATAAAAATACAGTAAAAGCATTAGTCACAGTCCAAGGGCACACGTAACACAGCAACACATATATAAATATAAATAAGTACGTTCTATATAAAGATACAGTAGCTTCTTTTTAATCTCGCAGAGAAATCAGCCCCGTGAGGGGGAACATAATTGATGCCCAAGCAGAACGCAAATACAGCAGGTAAGAAAAAAAGAGAAAGAAATGCTGGGGAAATGCTGAAAGGCAAACAATATATTTAGCACGTAACAAAAAGGTGTCTTATTCTGGTGGCGTTGAGATATAATGTATTATGACATTTTTGCAAAAAGTCAGGGGATGTCAAATACTAAGATATATCTACATGCACACAAACATATATAAAATAATAGACAGGCATATATAATGTAAATATACACACATATGAATACATTTTCCCGGGTGTTTATCCTGGAAAAATGAAATACAGCATTCCGGCTGTTTATGATGAGAAAATGAAATACAACCTCTTAAATTCCATTTTTAATTCAGAGTCAATTGATTTGAGAGTCTGCTAGTTCAAAGTGCAAGCTTGTGAAGGTTTAGAGAAAGGGCAGGCAGAGCAAAGGTCAGTAAATTATAATCCTTTACTACTGTGTTTTGTATTTAAAAGCTTTTAAACAAAATTAATATAGTATTCCAATGCCACACACCGAGTGAAGAAAGCTTAATACACCCAAGGAATAGAAAAGATGATACACTGAATTATAATCCACTTACAACTAAAAATAAAACAAAATACACATCTGCAGGAAGGGAAGGTGGAAAGGCCCAGCTATCTAATCAAAAGGCAGAAAACAGTATTATTCCTACAATAAAAATTGTGAATTTTCAAGTAAATGAATAAAAACTACTCATTAAAATATGACATCTGCAGTTTCAAAACCTTTTCTCACTTCCACATAACACCGGCTATAACACGGGGAAAGATAAACTCACGGAGAGAGATGTTCGAAGAAACACACAGGACCCACAATTCTTTCCTTACCGTTGTCGCCGGAAGGTAACGACACAGTGTGTGTTGGCACGGTATCCGCGTTCACTTTCCCATTTTCAAACGTGTCATTTTCAGTCTGTTGTAACTGCCAGTTGAGGCCAAATAGGTGCATTGCTGCGGGAAAGAACACACGCTGGTTAAAGGTCGGCTGCTCTGCGCTGCAGAGCCCACGGCAAACATGCTTAGAGCAAGTCACGCAAAGTTAAAACGTCCACGTTCTGAAACACCAAGGATAACGGTATAATAAAGGCCAGAAAACAAGCCGCTCCGCACACGAAGGCAACTGAGGCAGCGATGCGGCGCAGGGGAGCAGCAGGGATGAACGACTCGATGTGACTCCACCAACTGGTCCCGGGACACTCTCAGGAGTGACGGTTACCTGCCCGGCTTTGTCCCAGTTCCCTCCGCATCGCTGAGCCGGGTGCAGGAATGAACCCGCTGCCGCAGCACCTGCCAAACTTACTTGACACAGGCCATGCCCTCGTGTGTGATACTTTGTTGCAAAGCCTATAGGTTCTCAAGACACATGATGCTACTCATTGGATTAAAGTAAAAACTAAAAATTGGGCTCACGGATGAATCTGTTGGCATATGACATGATCAGAATGGATACAAATGTGCAAAATATAATATTGGACTATTTTAAAGTTAAGATGAATTTATTTAGAATTGATAACATAACTCGGCAATGATCCAGATCAAGCAACATGTATATGTGTCAGGTAATTGCATGGAGAATTTCAAAATTTTGCTTACTAATGTTATTTAAAGTATTTAGAAAAGAGAACTAGAAGACTATATACTTATAAATTTATAAATCTAATTTAAAGATTTTATATATTATTTTTCTTAATTTAAAATATTTAAAAGAATAAAACCAGCTATATTAACTATTGACACTTACTAAACATTCACGTTCCAAAAAATATAGTTTAGGAATTTATCCCCCAAGGAAGGGTAAATAGAGAAATCCAGTGACAGTCCTATTACCACATCACAAAAGAGAATAATATTCTTTTCATTATTTGACATTATTTACTCACTACACATTTTGGAATTTACCAGAGAGGTAGAGAAAGACAAACGTGTTTAAAGAGCAATGTTAGAGACAGTGTGGTAACTACCACTGTCCAAAAGCCCTTATTAAATAGTCAATGAAGTAACACAATTATACTGGCACAGTGTAAAAAGTTTGGCTGTGTCCTCAATCTAGGATTTAACCCTGGACAAATCATATCATACTGTTACACATTAGGTTTACTTTAAAAATGAGGCTGGCTGAACCTACCTTATTTAATTGATGCCAACTTTCTAGCAGTACATATGGAGGATTGCAGGACAGGGCTTAGTACATAGGTGTTTCATTTATTTACTCTTTACTCCAGATTTCTGAACTATGTGAAGTCACCTGACCGGGCTGTGGTACCTCTCCCTTAATAGTCCCTCTGTCTGCAGCGCTTCCCATCCACCGAAAAATACCTGCACCCCACTCAGGTGGCAGGTGGCCACTTCTTGGGAAAGCCTGCTGTGACTGGACTGAGCATCTTTCCCATGACTGTTTTCATTCATGTTTGTATCTCATTTACCTTATCCAGCGCCTGATACCTAGTAGGTTTTGATAAGTATCTGTCAAATAAATGAATTCTATTTTCTGAGGTTTTAAAATCTAAGAACATACTGTTGTGGATAAAAATATAGTCATTTAAAGAAAAAGTTAATAAATATAAAACACATATATAAATGTCTAAGAAGGAAGAGTGCTATATCATTGACAATTATTTGATTACCTGAGTGTATGTGAAAAATAGTTGAGTGAAAGTCCACTAGTATTTTATATAATTGATTGAATTTTTTTTAAAAAAAGGATTCAACAGTTTGGGGACCTTTTATGACCAGTCTCACATTCTCCTGTTAACAATACCTGATATAAAAATCATGCTACAGCAAGAAACATAGCAAACATAGACATACACACAGCTACATCACCCTGCACATTGGTAACTAATGTTTACATTTACACTCCCTGCTTGACCTACAGTCTGCCAGTAAGTCCTTTTAAGCTCAGATTTTTCAAGGATTAAGATACAGGTTATGGAATTCTTGAATTTACAAGTCGTCAATGTGTAAGGAGGTATAACTTCGTACGTCATTTCTGCATTAGATCATGTAGTGCTTGAGTGGCAAAATGTCAAGAGCTTTCTAAACATTTATCACTTCATACATTTGTCAAGCTTCACATATTTCAGCAACTTTTAAATGAAACCGTGGGAGCTACAGGTGCAGAGAGGAGAAGGTCTGACAGACACACTGTGGCAGAGAAACGATAACTAGTCCAACGGGGTCGAAGTTCCCACACAGAATAATGTGTCATCATGTGCTTTTATGTACCATAAAAAGTCTTCCTATAGCCCAGCCAGTGTGGCTCAGCGGGTGAGCATCCACCTAGGATCCGGGAGATCTTGGTTCGATTCCTGGTCAGGAATCGGGTTGCGGGCTCGATCCCCAGCAGGGGGCGTGCAGGAGGCAGCGGGTCAATGACTCTCATCATTGATGTTTCTATCTCTCTCTCCCTCTCCCTTCCTCTCTCTGAAATTGATTTTTAAAAAAGTCTTCCTATAGATTTGCTCATTTTATTGGTTTTAACAGACTTTGAAGAGGAGAGATAATCCATGAACCATACACAGATGTCAAGTGTTAAAAAGTCATGTTATGTTTGTGTTTGGAAAGCTATTTTATTTTTTGCCAGATGGGCCACATCTTATTATATATGTTTTTCTTACAGAAAACTCTCAATAACATGAGATTTTGGTTCTACTGCAGACATCATATAATGAGAACCATACCAAATAATATATGTATTTTAAAATATGTTGTTACTGATGTCAGAGAGAGGAACGGAGAGGGAGAGAGAGAGAGTCATTGATCGGCTGCCTCCCGCACGCCCCCGACTCGGGATTGAGCCTGAAACCAGGACATGTGCCCTGACCAGGAATCGAACCCTGACCTCCTGGTTCATGGGTTGATGCTCAATCACTGAGCCACGATGGCCGAGTCCCAATAATATTACATCTTGTTTAACACTGCACTGAAAACAGAGACCAACACGTTGTTTGGTCTTAGAATATTATGCACTTTGAAAATATTGCTGTTTGGTATTTCGTGAAGCTCTTGACACTTATTATGTATAATTTAAGACATTTATGCAAATACAGGTGTTAGTGAGATTCACTCAAAAGTTAGTGAAAAAGAGAAAGAAGAGGGAAGAGAGAGACAGTCAGGGATGGAGGCAGCAACTCATAAAAGTCAAAATGCTACAGAAATTACTAAGCACTGGTGTAGTAAAACGACACGCGCTGTCCTGGCAGACAAACAGAGACACCATCAGTGAACAAAAACACGCCCGTGAACAAAGAAAGGAGAGAAGGATCCTGCAATGCCTGAGCTGGAGGGCAGATGGGAGCCCACAGGGGGGCACGTGCCCCAGTCTTCGTGATGGCGCCATGGGCCCCTGGCTGATGCAGGACTGAAAGGAGGGCGTGGAAAGAGCGTCGGGAAGTGGCTGGAAGTCCCACTGAAAACATTCTCTATGAGAAGGCCACTCTGGCCGGGCTCAGCCTGAAGAGAGGGGACACTCGACAGCAGGTCCTCTAACAGTGATGAGTCAAGAAAAAGTTAAATTTGGAGAAAATTTTGAGGAGGCCCGTGCAACTAAGGAACAAACCCAAGAAGCCACCACTGAAGATATTGGTTTAATCCAGGGTCAGGAAAACCAGGAATGGAAAACAAACATCTTAGAAATGTGCTATTCAAGACTGAAAAAGAGCAAGGTGAAAAAACGAAAGATCCAACCAATGGTATTAAGACCCCCAATGCAGAAGCTAGGGAGGGTTGTGTAATTAAGCACAGCGTGTCTAATACACCACACCTGCAAAGTGTAAAAAGGAAGTTGTGCCCTGGCCAGCGTGGCTCGGTTGGCTGGGCGTCATCCCAGGCCCCGGAGGTCGAGGTTCCATTCCAGGTCAAGGGCACACGCCCCAGCTGCTGGCTGGATCCCCAGGACGGGGCGCGCAGAACACGGCCTTGGGATGCTTCTCTCTCTCCATCTCCCTTCCCCGCTCTCTCAAAATCAATAAACTATTAAAAAAAGCTGCAGTGTGAGAAAATTCAACACTTAAAGAGCTGAAGTTTCTAGCACCAGTTAGGTGTTCTTGACATTTTCAAGACACAACTTCTCAATTGCCAGAGATGTTCAAAGACCATTATTCTGTGTGTCTTCATTGGGACAGTTAACAGAGCTGGCAGGTGAAAGTGAGGCTTTCATATGCCGCTCTATACAGCTCGATGCCCGATGTATTCGGGACTGAAACACTGGAAGACAAATTAAGCCATAATTAGAAAAAGGCCAATGGAAGTGGCTGGGAGCTCTGTCTCCTGAGTCCCTTACCCCTGGGCGGAGAGCTTAGGTGGGAGGTCAGGCTGGCGGCGGGACCAGGTCAGGCTGGCGGCGGGACCAGGCTTCTGTCAGCCTCAGACAGCGCTCTCCGCGCCTGGGGGACACTGTGACGTGATATTAAAAAATAAAAGTCCCAGAACACCTGCTCTGTGTCAAGTGTTGTGCTAGTGTGACCTGCATTATCTCACTGAATCTTCACAAAGCCCCCCTTGAATAGTGACTACCACTTTTTCATTTTAAGTCTCAGAAAACTGAGGCTTTTTGAGATTTTAAGGTTCCAAGCAAGTAAGCAGTGGACCTTGACCGTGAAGCCACACCTTCTGAGAACAAAGGGTGTTATCACAGGCATTCCACGGCCCTCCTCTCTGCTCCACCACAGGGCTTCGGAATGTGAAAATCCACAGGGAAGGAAGGGAGATGGAACTGTGGGGGCCACGGGGCAGCCACTGCTTCTCTACCAGGTCTGGGAAATGGGGCCAGGGACAGTATAGGGGTGAAGCGGGCAAAGGCACTACTAGGGGACATCGGTGTATTCCAGGCACTGTTCTTCCACACAAGTGCTTCCCCACCATACTTACATTGTCCTAAAAGAAAATTTTAAAATAATATGATGATGATGATGATGATGATGAGGAAGGCTATTCTGGTTAACCCCAAGAGT